TGGTAACTTCAGAATATTTAGGTTAAGCACATTTATTTAACCAACATTTCAAGAATGTCATGGATTTTTAAAGACTCTAGAATTACAGAAACTAACAAGAGAATCTCTGCCCTTATAAAGTTCAGTCTAGCACAGGAGACAGATGCAGTCTATAAAAGGGACTCAGAGGAAGTACTGCGACTTTAATCCTTAAATTCAACTAGGGTCCTAAACATCCAACAAAGGTGGGCTTCAACTTCCCCGCATTCCAAATAACTGAATTTTTACTTATTTGTGTCCATGTTAGTTTACTTTTTACAAGTCGCTGGAAAGGTGTTCAAAGTCGATTTGTTTTGCCTATGCTAGAAACGGGACAGACATTGGTACAGGCTGGTATCTGAGCATCGCCAGTGTTCCCCCTTAATGTCCCGCTCCCGAACCTGCTACAACCGAAGGACCCACCTGCAGATTTCTTTACTTAGGTTTTCAGCCAATAAAACCAGCGGATGACGGCCACCCGTCCCGGGCGGGGCCGCAAGGCGTGGCTCCCGCGGAGGTCCCCCCTACCCCGGCGGCTCGGGCGTCCCTCCTGAGGCCGCGCCCAAGCTGGGCCCTACCTGCTGGATCTCCAGCTCCGTCTCCGGCTGCTGTCGGCCCAGCAGCTTCATGGGGAAGCTGGTCTGCGGCAGTAGCACCGTGTCCCTGTATTTGCCGCTATTCGAGCTCGGCAGCTGGTTGCTAGCCCCGGTGACTGAGCGCACCAGAAGCCTCTTCGTCGTCCCTCGCCATCCCAGGCGACAGGGAAGGCGTGGCGGCACCCACAAACTCCGGGCCACGGCGAGGGTCGCCGCTCCCGGCCCGAGCGGGCGCAGCCCCCAACGCATGGCGGAGCAACCCGGGCCGCCCCTTAGTGCGGGGTCCTCCGCTCCCGCCCCGGCTCCGAGGAGCAGAGACCCCAGAAAACTAGGCAAGCCGTGTGCGCGGGCGCACGCGCTCAGGGCGCGGAAGGGGCGGGTAGCGAGTCGGCGAGGACAGAGCCACCTCCGGGTCTTCGCCGCAGCCGCCGGGGGCGGGGCCGGCGCGGGCGCGATGGGGCCGGGATCCTAATCACAGTGGCCTGCTTTTTAAATATATATGTGCTTTTTTAGTTAACACATTGCATCTGTGATTTTATCGCTTCCACATGTAGTGAATAAAATGCATGATATTTTACATTCTTTCTCTTCATACTAAGTCTCCCAAATTTGATGTGTATTTTGCACATACAGCACAACTCAATGTGGACTATCGTGTATCAAGTGCTCAACAGGCACAAGTGGGTAGTGGCTACGTGGGCAGCACTGCTTTCTCAGGAGTACAGAGGGCAGTAAAAAATATTGTCAAAGAACAGAATTTCATCAAATTGAGAAAAAGATAACAGAAAGAAAGCAAGTGGCAACTAGGAAGTCATCAATGTCGGCCTTTCACCAGGCATTGACTCCAACTCTACCTATATTAACTCATTTAATCTTCAAAACCAGATGAGATGAAGACACAACGTACCACAAAACCTTGTGAGGTAGGGACTATGAGTATTCCCATTTCACAAATAAGAAAACTGAGGCACATGGAGTTAAGTAACCCACCCAAGATCATACAACTAAGAAGTAGCAGAGCTGGAATTCAAACCCAGGCAGGTAGACTCCACTGCCTGTATGCATAACTATCATGTTATATTGCCTCTCCTACATTATACTATGGCAGAAAAGATTTGCAGCACATTAAAAAATTAATATACAAACTGTATAAAGAGCTGTCAAATCAAGTAGAAAAATATAAACACAATAGAAAAAAGGGCAAAGGAAAAGATCAGGCAATTCATAGGCAAATATAAACAGCCAATAAACAAAAGATGCTCAAGTTTAGGAGTCATGAGGACAGGTAGTTAAAGTACCATTTTTCATCCAACAAATTAGGGCAAAAATGAAGAGATTTGAAAACAGGGTGTTAACGGAAAAAAACCCCAACTCTGTAAAATAAAGACGTTTATTCTGAGCCGAGTGTATGTGAGTCACCACTCAGAATAGGTTTTCAAGAGGTTCTTGAGAAAATGTGCCAGTGGTCGCCAGGTTACAGTTTGGTTTTAGACACTCATGGAGATAGGAATTACACGTAAGATCATAATATGCAGAAGTTGTACATTGGTTTGGTCCAAAAAGGCAGAACATCTTGACGGGGGTAGGGAGGAGGGTTACAGGTTTTAAAGATTCTTTGATTTGTAATTGGTTAAAGAAATGAAGCTTTGTCTAAAGAAGTGGAGTGTTTTAAGTCAAACTAAGGATGTCTGTTAATTAGAGACACCCTACCATTTACCGAAACACAAGTGACCTGTTAAGTAAATTGATGATTTGCAGGTGTGGTTTAACCTTTGTCTTGATGGGCTTTGGTCTGTTAATGATGTATCTTACTGTTACAAAGATTAACTCCAAAAGGGAAGGGGCATGATGAGGCCTGTCTGACCTCCCTTCTTCTCATGGCCAGCAACTCAGCTTTAAGTTTTTTCTCAAGTCCCTGTGGCCAAAAGAGGTTCCATTCAGTTGGCTGTGAGGCTTAAGATTTTGTTTTGGTTCACGAGGGCTTGAGAGTGTGTATGAAAGTGGACTGCTGGTGGTAGTATAAAATATGTACTGTCTTTTCGAGTGGCAATTTAGCGATATCCATTACCATTTAAAACGTACTTCAGCTTTGACCCCTAGTTCCACACCTGGGATCTATCTGATACCTACAGTCTCACAGGAGCACAAAGATGTATTCACACAGAAACTCTTCTAACCAACCTCTGCATAACAACTTGCTGAATTTAACTTGCTCTGTTTCCTTGTAAAATCTGTGAGAGGATACAATGAGCACTTGTAAAAAGGATACTCTACAGGGTGACCACAGACTTGCTTCCCATTTGTTGAACTATATGCTTATGGTGCATTGTGTTTGTACTTATTCAAGCTGGTTGTACTTGTTACCTAATTATGTAATTTAATAGTAAAAACCAACGTATAATTAAAATAGTGCAATTTATGTTATATATCTTTTACAATCCCCCAAAAGAGATCTGACTTAACTCACAGGATTATTGTGAAAATCAAATGAGATTGTGTAAGTAAAAGCATTTCAAACTAAAGCTTTCTATGAACGGTAGCCATTTGTTGATATTGCTCTCTGGTGAGGTTTTTTTTTTTTTTTTTTTGAGACAGGGTCTTGCTCTGTTGCCCCGCATAGAGTGCAATGGTCATAGTTTATTGCAACCTCACACTCCTGGGCACAAGCTTCTCAGACTCCCAAGTAGCTGGGACTAGTGCTTGCCACCACGCCAGCCTAATTTTTCTATTTTTTGTAGAGACAGGGTCTCACTCTTGCTCAGGCTGGTCTGGAACTCCTGACCTCAAGTGATCCTCCTGCCTTGGCCTCCCAGAGCGGTAGGATTACAGGTGTGAGCCACCACGCCCAGTCTCTCTGGTGTTTTTAAAAAACAGAAATCATGGTTTGGTTCTGATTTAAAAAGTTTGGGAGTTACAGAAGAGCACACAGAAACAAACGTAAATTGTTCATTATCACTCCTGCAAAATAAACCAGTGAATGTTTAGTGCAAAGGGTGTTGTTTTTTATGAAAACTAAGCTGAAAGCTCTGAAGAATCCAGTAATGGCAAGTCATTAAAAACCAAAAGCAAAACAAACAAACAAAAAAAAACTTCTGTTAATTTAGGTGAAGCTAAAACAAATGCAAATATGGGGAAACTATTGTAAAAATCTGTAAGTACTCTGCTTTTTCTTAAGTATCTGAACTCCAAAATTAAAGTGGTGCAGTATGGCTGTGCTTTATCAGGAGAGAGAAAAGCAGAACTCCAATCTGAGGACCCATACTCTGATAAAATGCTTGGACACATTTGCATTTTTAAAAATCTCAGAATGTACAGTACTCAATTTTAAGTCTTTTAAAAATAAAGTGGTAACTTCATCAATGTAAATGGTCCCTTCCTTTAACAATACAAAATGACTCTGAGTTCCCTTTGATAACCTTTCTTGCCCTGATTTCTACTACTAAGATAAGGGGTTTGGTTTTCTAATCATTTGGAGAACTTGCTTTGAAATGGAGGTGTTTGAGCAATTTACATTTATTGTTATAACTGATGTTTGTTATTAACTCTGCCTTTTTATGTTACTTTCTTATATTCTGATTGCAGAGCCCTGCTTTTTAATATCTCCCCCCTCCAACACACATAAACACAGGCAGGTTCAAAAATGGTGCTCCTTAAATATCCGGTGAATGCCTAAATGAAAAAACAAATTTTGTTTTTGCTTTTTTATACTTTGGCAGGGCAATAAGAATCTTAAATAGATTTTCTTCCCTGCCTCGCAAAGCCAAATAATCATTGACTTTTCACACCAGGCCAGGAAAAGAGAAAATCTCCCAGGGTTTATAGAAGGGCAAACAAAAAGCGCAGGGGGCAGTTGTTTCTAAACTTTTCTGGGTCACAGATCCTTTTGAGAACTTGATAAAAGTTAAAAAAAAAAAAAAAGTCGTTACCTTTAACAAAATTCTGCATAAAGTTGTTTTGCTGTTGTCGGGGAGGAAGAATGATGGAGATGGAGATGGAGATGAAGGTGGAGGTGTGCTGGACCTCCTGAAGCCAGTCCACGGACCCCCTTGGGGTTCGAAGTTAAGCAGCTGCCATCGCAGAGCGGTATTACTAATCGAAGGAACATGTGAAAAATGTAAATTGCATAAAGTGGGCTGGAAGACATCTGAAACTAGAGCCAATCTTTAAAAGCAAACACACCTTTCACTTTTACACCAGGTAACAGGCACCTACGAAGACCTTCGAGAAAACCCGAAGTGGAATTTTCGTTCGGGTCGGGAGTCTGAAGGGGCAGTGCGAAGTGGCTGTTCTGCGCTTGCGCGGGATTTCCCGCATGCTCAGTAGTGAGGTAGGGCGGCCGTCCATCCGCAAATGACCTATTGATAGCGCGAGAGCGCGGTACTGGACGCTCCGAGGGACCTGTGTCTTGATAGCGCGTTTTTAATTACCCCCGAAGTGTCTTTGGTCCGTTGTTCCAGGTTTCTCACGGTAAGTTTCTCCCCTGCGGGTCAGGGCAAGGGGGGATCTTAAGCAGATCTGAGTAGTTTCTTCAAGGGATTTATGTTTAAAAAAAAATGTAAATCAGATTGCCTCTCCAGATATTCCAATTTCGGACCTAGACTTTTGAGTGTCATCATTTTAATTGTTAATCTGTGCTTTTAATGCTCTGGGGTCTTTTTTATAAGTATATCTATGTATTGTAGAGGCAACAAGGTAAACCTAGACATTGCATTTGATGGTGCACCGAAATTTAGAAACTGCTTTACGCCTAAAATTAAATTTCATTATGATTGCAGATATTCTTCCAGCTGTCATTTGTACATATTTGTAGACTTGCATGATTTATTTGGGTTTCCCTGGAAATATATTTGCTGGTTCAAAAGATGTGTGCATTTTACTTTTATTAAGGTTCTCAAAATCCTCCTGGCGCTTTGCATCCTTACCAACAATGCTCAGGAACATGTTCCCCCACACACTTGCCAATGGGACAAACTTTTTCTTATCTATGACAATCTTACAAATAAGCAACCATTCCTCATTGTTGTAGTCTGCATTTCTTTTGTAATTAGTGAAATTGAATATTCACGTATTTAACAGCCATTGCTTTACTTTCTCTGGGAATTGCCTATCCCTGTACTTTGCTCATTTTTTCTATTATTCATCTTTTACATACTGATATATGAGCCCTTTACAAATTAGCTCATTTGTCTCATATGTGATACAAGATTTTTTTCCCATTTTGTCAGTTATCTGTTTACCTTGTTTATGGCATTTCAGTTATATAGAAGTTTGGATTTTATATAGTCCAATTTATTATTATATTCTGTTATGGATTCTTAGTTTTATGCATAAAAGGCATTTACCAAGTTTGTAAAGTTTTGTTTATTTATAAGTCTTTTCCCCATACTTTTAAGGTTTCATTATTTACTTTTAAAAACCATGCATTGGCCTGGAATATATTTTGATATAAAGAATGCAAAAAGGATTCAACTGTTTTTAAAAAGTTAGCAACTGCTCTATCATTTATGCACAATTTAATTTCCCCCATGATTTGAAATACCACTTTTAATGTGCTTGTATCTTTTTCTGGAATCTATTTGAATCTCACTAGCTAAACTTTTTAAATTACTATAGTTTTACTAGTAAATTACTGTAGTTTTATCATATTTTGATAAATGGTAAAGGGACTATCTCTGTTCATCGTTCTTTTTTCAGAATTTGTATCGTTGTGCTCACATTTTTATTTTTCCAGATGACCTTGAACATTATCATTTGCCCAGGTTCCAAAAGATAAATAATTTCAGTACTTTGATTAGGAACTCATCATTCATTTTTAGTTTCTAATCTTCATATGCTACCCATCTTAATATGAGAAAAAACTGATCATTTGATTCCTGTTGTTTTTCATCCTTCTGAATTAGTCCTGTTGGCAGTTGTAAAGACTTCTTAAGCGGATGGGATGTAAGGTTGATTGCCTTTTGTCACATAACCTTTTTATGTGTCTAAGCCTCAAGCCCAGAATATTATGAAAAAGAGCCGGTACCGTACTGTGATTCAGGATCATATTGGTTATCATATTACATCCTCAAGGTCAGAATACCGTTGCAGAAGCTATAGGAACTTTTTGCTCTTAATACTGCCCTAATGTCTCTACAGAATAACCAAAAATAAGGACAATCATAATAATAATGGTTAGCCAGTATTATCTGGTGTTTACCTTGTGCCAGGGACAAGTACATAAGTGCTTTATATGTGCTACTTATTTAATAATTACAACAACCCTTTACCGTAGGTACTACTATTATCTCCATTTTACAGGCTGAGGCACAGAGAACGTAAGTGGCTTTCTCAGTGTCACACAGGTAATGTGTACCAGAGCCAGTATTTGAACACAAGCAGTGTGTTGCAGAGCCTATGTCTTTAACCACTATGCTGTTTTTGACTAAGCTTTCAGAAAGACATGTTCACAAAAGGTAGTGTTTTAAGACCCAGAGGTCTAAAACTGATAGAGAAGGAAGTATTAATACAATGGGTGGAATTTGAACTGCTTCAAGGAAGTTAACTTGCATGTAGCTAGTTTTGGCCTTACTCATTAATCCACCTATACCATCAAAAAGCAATCCTCATTTGGAATCCAGGAGGGGGCACAATTAAAAAGGCTATTAGGGACCTCTTTTACAGATTTTGTGCTTTGGTGTTAATAATATGAATAAGAATATTTTTTATACCAAGGACCAACATTGTATTCATTTGTTTAAAAAATAAGGAAGAAAACTATTAGGGCTAGGGGATAGAAATATTTCATTACTTACTAATTCAGTCTGAACCAGAGAAGTACTTTTTTCCTTATTTGCCACCCTAAAGTGATTTGTGAAATTTCTTCAAAGTCATTGTTATGCTTTATATCAAACTTTATTTTTTCCATTCTTATATCTTATAAACTGATTTTGGCTTTAAATGGTGGTTCATAAATACAGTGATTCAAAAATGGTGGTTCAAAAATATACATTTCGTGAGGAAGGTAGTAGACAAACCCTGAGAGTTTCTCTTTGGAAGAAAATTCCATGGACTTGGCTAATACAAGGGTTAATAGTTTAGTCACTTATGAAGCCTGACAAGGCTCAAATGATTGTTTAACTGGCTCAAAGGTAAGTGATATCTTTGAAAAGTTATAACAACACCATACAGTGCAGGAAAATGATCTCCCTGTTACAAAAGAAGTCTTATATAACATGGGGACTGAATGAGCATAGCAGCACATATTAAAATAGCCTCAGCGGTTAAGACATCTGGGTAGAACAAATCGATTGCCCAAAGATTACCTTTCCAGTGCAGAGTAAATCAGATATATGGCTGGATGTGGATATAAGGGAGTAGAGGTAAGGCCAACAAAGTGTTTGCTAAATTATTTCTCTTGTTTTCTATCTAGGTGCTTCTGAATTAGTAATGATCATAACTGGTTTATCCCACATGTAACACCTAGTATGCTAAGAAAATTAATCTAGCCTTATTATGACATAATAAGATAAGCGGAATTCAAACAAAATCATCCCTTGGCATACCAAGGGGATTGGTTCCAGGACACCTCCAACCTACGCAAAAATCTGCACATGTGAAAGTCTCACAGCCCTGCCAAACCTATATACAAAAAGTTGGCCCTCTGTGTATGTGGGTTTCACATCCCTTTTCTATCTGCATTTGGTTGAAAAAGATCCATGTATAAGTAGACCTGCACAGTTCAAGCACATATTGCTCAACTGTACATAGAAACTCATTTTATTTTCATCTGAATTCCAGACAGCTATTGGTTACAATATGGTATTCATTACCTTACATCATTTACAATTCCATCTTCCTTCTGAAGGGTTGCAAACACTTCACTTGTTTATTTTAGTTATGTTTATAATTCCTGTGAATACAATGTGGATGATAGGCTGCGAGTGGTGGCCAGTAATCCCAGCACTTTAAGAGGCTGAAGCGAGATCATTTGAGGCCAGGAGTTCAAGACCAGCCTGGACAATATAGCAAGATCTCATCTCTACAAAAAAAAAAATTTAAAAATTAGCCAGACTTGGTGGCACATGCTTATAGTCCCAACTGCTCAGGAGGCTAAGGTGGGAGGATTGCTTGAGCCCTGGAGTTTGAGGCTGCAAGAAGCTATGATCACACCACTGCACGCTAGCCCAGGCAACAGAGCAAGACCCTGTCTCACAGAAAAAAAGAAAGAAAAAGTAAAAAAGAATGTGGATAATAGAAAAAAGATGTAAAGTGATTAAAAGGTACTTCAAGTCAAATATTCAGTCAGAAATTGGTGGTAGAACAATAACTGTTGCTGAATTGAGGTTTATAATGTCCTTTATATACATTCCCTGTTAAAGGGAACAATAATTGTGTTTCAGGGAAATAATGTTGATTTGATTTAGAGGTGGGAGAGTTTTTGCCACAGGTTGATTCCCCATAAACTCTCTGAGACAGAGATAAAGCCTGAGAGGTTTATTAGGGAGTGTTCTTGGGATCACTTGTGGGAGGGAAGGGGGAGAAGGGAAGAAAGTAGTAGAAGGGGGGATGTTGAGCTGTGATACGGTCTCAACTAAGGACTCAGCTGACCTCACTGGGTACTCCGAAGCTGGGGTGGCCCTTCAGAGTTGAAGTGGAAGACCAGTTGGTGTGGGGAGTGGCCTTTAAACCTCCGTGTTACTACGTTTCAGGTGAAGTGACTCTTCTCAGCAGATAAATTCCCAAAGAAAGATGGCAGCTAAGGGCCATCTGTTGGCAGCAGTTTCAGCATCTGGGAAAATAAGTCCTTCAGTCCTGAAGGGCATCTGGGTGGTGCATCCCAGCATCCCGAACAGTCACTAAAATTGCAGGATTTGAATTTTTATTTTCAAAGAGCAATATACTTCATTCCAAAGGCTGGTTTTTTTCTACTTATTTCACTGGAATTAGGTTCTTCTCTGACACTCAGGACTTTTCCAAATTTTTTTTTTCCAGATGATTGGTCTTTGTTCCAATTAGTTATGTGGCTTGTTCTCTTTATTTGGCTACTGATGAGGATGGGGGTAAATAACAGCAGGTTAAATTTTATTCAGTCTCTAAAGATACACTCACTGATTTTCAGAAAATAATTTTAATCACATGCAGTTCCTCCCTCTTTTAATTACCCCACCTGTACACCTGCATCCCTTACTCTATTTGTACCTCTCTTGGCACTGACTAGTTTTCTGTTATAGGCATTAGGTTGCATTATTTTACCCACAACCCACTAAAATATTAGCTCCTCAAAGGCAAATGTTTCATCTTATATTTTTAGTCCCCGAAGCACCTTCCATAGCCTTTCACCTTCCATAGCTCACACACAAACTTTTTCATGTGCTCAGCAGCCCGGGCAGGTTTCTCCTATCCTTCGAAATACCCCATCTGCAGACAGAAAGAAAAATACAGAACTTATTGAGAGAGTTAATGCCGAAATGGAGTTTTTTCCAAATCTCTTTTAGTAAATATTTATTAAAGAACCTGCTCAGTTAATGAGAGCAGTCCTAAGTAAGCACTCAATAAATATGTGTTGAATTGAACCAGCGCAAATAAAACCAGTAGTTAGCTTTGAAACTAACAAAACATTTTCCTCAATTTGTTTTTAGGGCTGATCATGGCTTCCAGGCACACCGTGTTGATGCGGTTGGTAGCCTCAGCATATTCTATTGCTCAAAAGGCAGGAATGATAGTCAGACGTGTTATTGCTGAAGGAGACCTGGGTATCGTGGAGAAGGTACTGAAACTCTCATCTCATTTCATACCAACTTTATTTTTGTTCGTTAAGAGTTAGCTAAAGGATGTAAAAATTTAGACAGACTTTAACTGTTCAAATAATTCATGGCTCCCTTATGGAGACTGCAAAATCTGTGGTTCAAATGGGTTCCATATCTGCTTTGAAAATGACTCAGACTCCCTGTAGCCAAGATCTTTAAAATAGAGTGAGTTAAATCACTCACTTGTAAGTCAGACATCTATCTAAGTTCATTACCATACGAAAAATGAAAGCCATATATGTGAGTAAGAAACAACTTAGAAATAAGTTTATGTGAGCGAATTATAAAACATTCAACATAACTGCTTTTAAAAACAAAAATCATAAGAGCAAGTGAAATAAATCTCATTTCCTTTTTTGATAGGTTTATGGGCCTGCTCCTTTGGCAAATAGATACAGGGTATCTTGATTTCAGCAAAGCATTTGTTATAGGCTCTCATTTTCCATTTTAAAAAAAAGGTTCAAACTATTCATAGTTACATAAATGACAGCTCCATCCTGAGCCACTGTTAGATGTATTCATAACTGGGTGAATAGCATTACCCAGAAATTTAAATTCTTGATTCATTTTCAACCTGGGAAAGGATCATTGTTGGTAGGTCACAAAACTCAGCCCCTGACTCTGTACTTTGATCATAAAATTATATACACTTTTAAAAATTTATTGAATATATCTTCTCAAAAATTTTGTGGAAGAGGATGATATAGAAAACATACTTATCAGGCTGAGTACAGTGGCTCACACCTGTAATCCTAGCATTTTGGGAAGCCAAGGTGGAAGTATCACTTGAGGCCAGGAGTTCAAGACCAGCCTGAGCAAAGAGCAAGACCCTGTCAGTACAAAAAACAGAAAAATTAGCAGGGTGTGATGGCACATGCCTGTAGTCAGGTTGCAGTGAGCTACGATGATGCCACTGCACTGTAGCCAGGGAGACAGAGCAAGACTCTGTCTCAAAAAAACAAAATCATAGTTATCAAATTTGTTAATAAAATGAAGCCAGAAGGGCTAGTTTATATATCTGATTGTAGAGTAAGTATTCAAAATAGTTGCAACCTCTGAGAAAAGTGAACCAAATCCAGCAGGATATTGTAACAAGAGTAATATAAAGTACTATATTCATGTTCAAGTTGTATGAGGTAAATCTGATTCAAATTTGTTTGGAAAAGAGGTTTTAGTTAACCATAGACATGCTCAGTGATAAACCAGCAGGGTAATACAGCTGCTTTCAGAAGGCTACTCATCTTGTCTTTTTTGTAAGGTGTCAACAAAAAAAAAAAAAAAGAAAGAAAGAAATTTTTGAGCTGAGGATGAAAATGTCCTAAATTATTTAAAAGCTCTTTTCCAAACTTTAACCACTATTAATCCTTCGAGAAAAACCAAGCCAAAAAACTAGTTGACTCATTTGATGTTAAGTTCTGTGAATCTAAAAACTGACAGTATAATCTAAATCATGGGGCACTCATTCACTAGCAATCAGAGGACAACTTATTTCACGTTAGTTCTGCTAAAATTTACATTCTTAAGGCTGGGCCAGTGGCTCACACCTGTAATCCCAGCACTTTGTGTGGGCGCGGTGGGAGGATTGTTTGAGGCTAGGAGTTCAAGACCAGCCTGGGCAACATAGAGAGACCTTGTCTCTACAAAAATAAAAGATTAGCCACACATGGTGGCATGTGCCTGTACTCCTAGCTACTTGGGAGAATCTCTTGAGCCCGTGAGTTTGAGGTTGCAGTGAGCTACGGTTGTGCCACTGCACTCCAGCCTGAGCAACAGAGCAAGACCCTGCCCCTAAAAAAAAAGTTAATTAAAAAATAAAATAAAATTTGCTTTCTTTGTGACAGACCTGTGCAACAGACCTGCAGACCAAAGCAGATCGATTGGTACAGATGAGCATATGCTCCTCACTGGCACGGAAATTCCCCAAACTAACAATTATAGGGGAAGAGGTAAGAGTTGTCAGAGACATGGTATTTTTTTAATCTGTTTGTCATATAGATTTATAACTGGCACCTTAATAATTTATATACCACTATTATGATTTTTAAGCATTATATCTATTGTTTTAAACTCAATTATTGTATTCCTTGGACTTAGAGGAAATATCTGATTTTGAAATATTTTGGTCCATTTCTAGGCCAGATGTCTTAATTCTTGGCCATAGAAGATATGGTTACTGTTATAATACCCAGCTTATACAAAGTATAAGTTGAGCAAAGTTTTAGAACTTTGGAATAAAATGGGTTACATTGTTCTTGTTCATTTGTTTTTAAAATAAGGCTTACTTGTGTACTTCTGCAAAGACTATAACACTTTGCAAGTGAAGGAATTGACATCTCATGTTAATTGAGAGATTAGAAGTATCTGCTGTCAGAGCCACTTGTTTAAATAAGTTTATAATATTTAAAAATTGTTTTCCTTTTAAACATTGTTCAGGACAATGAAGATGGGACCATTTAAACTTTGATAAGCCCCATATGATTGTTTCTGCCATTTTAGTAGGTTTGCTTTTAAAGCTCTAAACATAAATGGTAAACAGGAAGGACTAGTGAAAACTGTGATGCATTATTTTTTCTGAGACAAAGTGTACTCTGTAAACACAAAACAGCTTTCATAACCGTTAGTGTTATCTCTGCTTTAGGATCTGCCTTCTGAGGAAGTGGATCAAGAGCTGATCGAAGATGGCCAGTGGGAGGAAATACTGAAGCAACCATGCCCATCACAGTACAGTAATATTAAAGAGGAAGATGTATGGTCCATATTTATACTTAACTCTCTATTAGTCTGTGTGTTGTTTTTTGTTTTTTTGCCATAGTAAAGGAAATAAAATTTGACTGTAAAATGCAAAGCTGGTAGTTATAAAACAGGAGCAACCAGGTCCTTGAAATCTTTCAGAGCCAGCGTAGATGTATCAGGCAACCATACGGAATTTAGAATTCAGTTTATTATCCCGTTAGCTTCCTTTCCACTCTGAAATCATTATTAAAAATGCTTTTAGAAAGAAAATCTAACTTGTTATTAATAAGCTTGGTAGTAAACCATTTCATTAGTCATTGGGGCTGCAAGGACATGAAAGAGGTTGATACCTCATATTTTTATAATGCCATAAAAATCACCCCACTTTTTATAGTTGCTTAAGTTCAATCTATGACTTTTGATAACCACCATTCTTCTTTAGTTTTCTAATTGTAAGTCATTTAACACACATTCACTGAAAACTTACCATGAGTAAGGCACTTTGCTCTGTGGTATGGAGTATACAAAGAAAATGAGACATGTCGTCTTCCATCAGAAATTCACAGCCAGCGTTATAATTCTAGGGGTTAAAGGCAGCATATCCTGAATCATGTAAAAGGGTCTAAGCAGAAGGAATTTCTTTTTTAATCTACTGCTAGTTTTATGAACCATTCATTTTTCTTTGGTTTATATGTCCTGTGTCCTTAAGATAATCAGACTGTCATTTTTTAAAAATCAGCACTTATATTTAAAAACCAGTAACAACCACACATTATTCAAAACATTTTTTATTCCACTTTGCAAGTTTTCCCTGTACCACCATGTAGAGCTCATTGTGTTTGTGGCATTGTGCTTAGTGTTCAAATGACAATAAATTTTTTATCAGTTAAGCATTTCATATTTAAAATTCTTAAATCAGACTTTTCTCTAAATGAACATTTTCCATGATTACAAAACACTAAGATTTTTTTGCTATCATAAAACGGATGATGTTGGCTTAAGCCATCCATAATTTTAAAAATGAAAAAAAAGAATAGTTTTAATCTATTTAAATCTATTTTGGGGATTTTATATGCTTGATTTAGATGTTTTATCTCTCTCTCTTTTTCTCCTTTTAGCTTGTGGTCTGGGTTGATCCTCTTGATGGTACTAAGGAATATACTGAAGGTTGGTATTTTTTTTTGTATTCATATTTGACAGCAGTAGGACAAGAATATGATGTTTAGTTGTAAACATTTGATATTTTGTATGTTGTATGGAAAGCTGCTATCATGTTTTCTGTTTTTCCCTAAAGCTATATTTGTGTTCATAGTAGCCGTTATCATACATCAGTGGTGGTCAAGACCGAGGGAGAACATTCATCTCCTGCAGATACCACCTCCCCACATACTCTACCAGCCTCACAGTTCTAATGTCCCCCAGATGAGAGTAACTAATGTATTAAACCCGTGTCACCAAAGGGACAATCCTGAACCCTCAGCTCTAATGGGGTAGAAAAACGATGACAAGCACAGCTGTACTGACCTGCTGTACCACCACCACCATCCCATGCCCGTCCGATGGATTCTCCCCTTATTTCTCACTTCACAGCCTCACCTTTTAAAGATGGGTTTTGAAACACAGTACAGTATTTTCCTGTCTGAAGTCACCTAAGATGAGAAAAATTAGAAAGCAGTAAGTTAAAATTGGTAACATAAAAGTAAGAAGGACCAGGCTCAGAGCCAGAGTGGTTAGGTTTTAGAAGCTTAAAAGTTTTATTTTTCAAATAAAGATCTACATAGGTTTTCTTCCATTGGTTCTCAGCTTCCTGGCTTTAAAAAAAAGAAAATTTCTCACAATTACTAGTAAAAAACTCTATCGCTGTTCTTGGATGACACATATCTATAATGAGTGAATCATACAGTGTGTGGACTGAAAACATCTCTATAATCCATTGAGAAATAAGGAAGCTCTAGACAGCTTTAATGTGTATAAGAGAGCCTAGAAAGCTTATTTAGATCTTGACCCCCACTCCGAGATTTTGATTCACTATATCGGGGAAGGAACCTGAGAAGATCTGTATTAAAAAATACACTAGTTAATTCTGATACTTTTTGGTAGTCCATGGACCCCACTCTGAGAAGCCCTGCTTTAAAGGCTTGAAGTGCAAGTCTAGACAGTAATCTAGGAAGATAGAGTGCTTCTGTAGGTAAGAATGAGTTGGATGGTGGCAGAAGAGGCATAGAGAAATCTAATGATAATGGCTGCTTTATTTAATTGGTTTACAAATTATACTAATGAGACCATGACTATCAATTCAATTAAGTGGTCATAGCCCCTATTCTGTGTCTCTGTCCAGCTCTCTGATAATTTGTACATTTTGTCATAAGTAGGATTGATCATGGATGAATCATTGCAAATTCCATATCTTTACTGCAAAAATAACTTGGAGTAATTGATGTATTGATGATGAGTCATAACATGGCAAAGTGATATAATTGATTTTCATTTCTTCTTTATAGGTCTTCTTGACAATGTAACAGTTCTTATTGGAATTGCTTACGAAGGAAAAGCCATAGCAGGAATTATTAACCAGCCATATTACAACTACCAGGTATTACTATAAGTAACACAAAAATATTTTATTAGATAAATAATTATAGTGTTATATGATTCCTGATACTATGTAATCCAGTGGTTTCTAGCTTGGTTGCACGTACAATTATCTTGGGAGCTTTTCAAAATACAGATTCTCAAGTCATACCCCAGAACTATTGAATCAGAACCTCTGGAGTCATTCAAACCAGGAATGTGTATATATGTATGTGAGTGTACAGAGACACACTGTATGTATTATATATTTTTCTGTATTCCTTATGATTCACATGCAAAAGTTTGGGAATTACTGATACGGTTCTTGGTTAGCTTGGTCATCAAGACTCCTGATTTATAGGTGGTTTGTGAAGCACATTGAAGAAATGAACCATTTTAGCCAAGAAAAGGTGTTAGCCATGTTGTTTGCCAGGTTACACTGCATACTGCCAAAATTATAGTGAGCATTGATAACAGAACTAAATATGCTCTTGCACTCTTTTCTCTTGTTTTTTCTCATCTGCTTTGACTTTCTATTATAATTCCAAGAACATGTGTGCCTTAGAAGCAAGAGACTAGTATAATTTCAAAGCAAGAATATACCATTAAATCACGTTAAATTTTAAAGGAAATTGTTGAGAGAAAATAGTTAAGGTATTTACATTAATGTGACCTTGATAGAGATTTGGAGAAACAAGGTAAGCAGGGTGGGGACTATTCTGAACTTCCAATTTGAGTTAAAGCAGGATTAATCTTTACTTCTAATATAAATTTTTTTCCTGCTGTTTGTATGATTATAAATTTTATTTACAATCATGTCCTTCTTAGGATTTAGCAAAATAATTAGACATTATTGGGAAAGTCATACTGAATTACTTAAGTGTCCATTAAGTCTTTTAATAGGACTTTAATGTTCATACAGTATTATATGTAGACACAAGTTTGTAGTTTTTATTTAAACTTTAAAGTGAGTTGATGCTATTACTTAGAAGAGGGGCATTTAATTCATAGAAAGCGTTGTAATGCATGGCACATTTCATCAAAAAAATAAATCTTCATGCTTAAGAGTTGTTAATAATTTTCATCACTTCTTTCTGAGATTGGAAAAATTATATTCATTTTCCACAGAACAATGAAAAGGAGAAGTTAAGGGAACACAGGAATGAAGCAAAGGTGAGAAAAATAGCTAGGGTTTTGGCTCCGCTAGTAGATAAAAAAGAGGTAGGCAACTTGTGGTACTCCAGGAGTCTTTGCCCATCCGATCTGTAGTTCATTTTCTCCTATTCTGCTTCTCTTCATTCCCTCTCCCCTCACCTCATTCCCTGCTGTACACGCTCTTTATCCTCTCTTTTCCTTCTCTCGCTTATGCCTTAAAATTTGTTGCAACAGGCCGGGCGCGGTGGCTCACGCCTGTAATCCTAGCACTCTGGGAGGCTGAGGTGGGCCGATTGTTTGAGCTCAGGAGTTCGAACCAGCCTGAGCAAGAGCGAGACCCTGTCTCTACTAAAAATAGAAAGAAATTGGCCAAACAACTAAAAATAGAAAAAATTAACTGGGCATGGTGGCGCATGCCTGTAGTCCCAGCTACCTGGGAGGCTGAGGCAGGAGGATCGCTTGAGCCCAGGAGTTTTGAGGTTGCTATGAGCTAGGGACGCCACTGCACTCTAGCCCAGGCAAGAGAGTGAGACTCTGTCTCAAAAAAAAAAAAAAATTTGTTGCAACAAACAGAAGTAGAAAAGTTGCTTGGCTGTGTTGGCAGTATTCAGGCTAACGATTCAATTTTAAATAATTATCATAATAATAATAGCTAAAATTTATTAAGGACTTACTGTATGCTGCCAGGCTCAAGGGATTCACCTGTATTATCTCGTTTAATACTCATCACAACCCTTTAAGAAAACCATTATCCCCATTTTAAAGGAGAGGAAACTGAGGCAAGTAACTTGCCCTAAGGTCACCCAATTGGTAAATGGCAGAGCTGGGATTCAAACTCAGGTCCAAATCTTACTACTGTATTTCTACTCTTTATAGCTCTCTTGAGCCACATAAAAGACTTAACAATTCAAACTTTATTATTGTTTCTAATAAATACTGAAGCGGGTGGGCAGTGGAAGGAAACAGCGTGGCCTGGTACATAGAAACCCAGTCTATTTGTCAGAGCTATTTTCTTAACCGTTATGAAGCTTAATTAACTCATTGGTGTGGAGCCTTTGAAGGAGAAAGATAATGAGAGAGATGGCAAGTCAGGAGCACAGAGGATGGCCAGCCGTCTCCACCATGGGATTGGCTTACCTCACCAAGACACCAGATTCCCTGGTCCCATCCTCTTTGCCTACATACTCATTTACAGAGGGAATTGTGACTTTTGGAACCAGAATGTTTGTGTCCACTGTCTGCTTCCCTTTTTTCCCCCCAGAATGACTGGAGAGCTGAATTAATAAATAGATTTCTTGGGGAGCTTGGAATTAGTCTCAGCAATCAAGCTAAACCCTAATGAGTACCTAGAGCCACCATAGAGGCCACCTGTACTTTTCAGAGTCCAAGCCTCTCCTGTAAGGTAGACTCAAGAGGGAGCAGAGGAAGCACACTAATATATATTGAGTACCTGGTGCTTGTTGTTTGGTTCCTTTGTTGCCCCAATTATAGGGAGTGTTGTCAATAGTCAGCCTCTTCTGAGGTTGCCTACTCCATGAAGAGCCGTCTCACCCGGGGCTGCACCGCTTCCAGATGCAATCCATTTCCAATGACCGCTTATTGCAGGAGTGTAAAGGCCTGGCATTTCATCCCAATTTGGGACAACCCTGAAGAGCCATTCTAGCTCCAGAGCCCTCCATAGGGTCAGCTAAAGCCGTTGTTGGGCCTGCATTACTGCTCATTTCTTCCCTCTGTCCACACCTGCTTCCTTCCACAGGCGTTGATCCCAAGTGACTCCCTAACAGACATCCCACCTGTCTCACAGTCTGCTCCCCAGGGAACCCAACCTGCAACATAAGCATGCTTCACTCTAACAGCACCCAGGGTGCTGCTGTAGCATAAATAAGATATGTTTCAAAACATTTTGATGCATAAACTCAGGCAGTCTAATTTAGTGATGAAGAATATTGGCTTTGAACACAGATAAGCCCAGTGTGGATTATGAACTCCTTGGAGTCGTTAGTCAGATTACTTAATGATTCCAAATCTCATTTTTCTCACCTTTAAAATAAGTATGATAATACATACTTCATGGGGTTGCTTCGAGGACCGACCGAGATAATACACGTAAAGCACTTAGTATGGTACCTGATACGTGCTTGGTGTTCAGTAAAATGTATGTCTATATGTCTATAATTTATGTCTACTATATTAATATGGTCACATTTTGATGACTGTTAATCATTTTATGTATCAGGTTTACTTTCCATGAGACACATGTTATTTTTTTTTTCTATATAATGTGTACAGTTAAAACAATGTGGTTGAAAATTCTTTGAACTCTGCAAAGGCAAATGCAGATTCTAAGACTGCATTATCATTGTCATTTTACACTACAATTGTCAATAAAATCTTAACCCTGATCCCATTCCATAGCTACTCTGTTGTATCATTATCAGCCTATTCAGTTGCTCTATCTTATAGCAGAAAAATACATTTTCATCATTACCTAGTCCCATAGTAATATGATCCTTATTGTTCCTTAGATAATGAAAAGTACTAATCAATATATGGTGTTTCATTTGATGGGGACTTCAGTACCTTTGGAAAATGGCTATTTTCAGATACAACAAAGAGATCATTGGATGATTCAAAGAAAAACAGTAATCAGTACATGATGTTTCCTTTCCTGAGGACTCCAAGGAATAACCAAAACTTCCCTTCATTACCATTGAAACTATTAACAAAAACAATGAGAATAATCAGCTGATTCTCCCATGAAAAAATCTTTGTCAGTGATATTATTCTTGTACTTTATAACATTATTATGCTTTTATTTCTAAAAAATCATGATGCTCATATAACTAAATATCCCATTTGTGGCTAATGTTTTTCTCCAAATGGTTACAAACTTTCTTGTTGTTTCGTTTACATAGGCAGGACCAGATGCTGTGCTGGGGAGGACCATCTGGGGAGTTTTAGGTTTAGGTGCCTTTGGGTTTCAACTGAGAGAAGTCCCGGTTGGGAAACACATTATCACAACCACCCGATCCCACAGCAACAAGTTGGTAACTGATTGTGTTACCGCCATGAACCCTGACGACGTGCTGCGAGTGGGAGGAGCAGGAAATAAGGTACGAACAAGGTCTGTGATTGGCTCTGAAATGCAGTTGACTATTAAAGGGAAGGCGGAGTTTTTTAACAACACGAAATAAGAATTTTAAGAGAAGGGATTTAAGATTATAATTTGCCACTAAAAACACCTTTCAGCAACATTTAAAGAATTTTAAAGAAATTTATGAGTCAAGTCTTTTCATCTAAGGATTCTGTGTTAATGAAAGTCCTCGGGAGAAGGCCCCATGCCTCTTGCTAAGGGCCTCATTTTCCCAACGACTCTCCTGGATTCCTTCCTACACGTTTCTTCTGCAGACTGAGGACAGGCTGCTTGCCTGCCCCGTCTGTCTACTTCCCCCATTTTGTCGAGGCTTCTAACCTTCGGAGAAAATTGTGAAGTGGGACACGGTTTGATCCACATCCCTAGCCCTGATCTCATTGTCTCATGGATATCATCATGATGACATCCCTGAGGTATCTCAAATTCATCGTGTCCAGTTTGAGTTCATCCTCGTTCTATCCACCTCCGGATGTGTTCCTCTTCCTATTTTCTATCTGTTTAGTGGCACCACAGTTTTCCTAATTGCTCTAGCTAGACACCTGAAAGTCATCCTAGACTCCTTCCTTCTTCACATCCTATCAATCTGGTCCTACCTATGTATCTTCCTAATACTTGCCTAATGTCTTCTCTTATCCATCTCAGCTGCTGGTACCCTAGTTGAAACCTATCATCATCCCTCCCCCAGCTGTTACAGTAGCTTCCAAAGTGGTTGTCTGTTCAATCCAGTCTTCACAAATGCCACTAGAGCAATTAAAAATATAAAACTTCTGCTCTGTCCCAAATCCTTGGATCCATCACAACTACTTAAAATCTAAGCCTATTAGCACGGAATGTAAAGCCTTTTATAGCCTGGCCCGGCAAACGCCCAGGCCTCATCCCCTGCCATATCCCAGCTCACACTTCACCTCTAGTGATACAGAACTGCCTGTACTTTCTGATACATGTGCATATCACACTTGTGTGCCTAGCACAGGGAAGGTAAATAATAAATATTTATTGAACTGAATGGAATTCATTTCTCCTTACCTATGTTTTGGAAGCAATACTCAACTATTTTTAGATTTTTTAAAGGCATTTACTAATAACAATGAAAACCGGGAGTTTAAAAAGCAAATAACTCACACCTGTAATCCCAGCACTTTGGGAGATTGAGGCAGGATTGCTTGGGCCCAGGAGTTTGAGACCAGCCTGGGCAGTGTAGCAAGATCCTGTCTCTACTAAAATAAGAAAAAGCAGCCAGACATAGTGGTGCACACCTGTAGTCCCAGCTACTCAGGAAGCTGAGGTGGGAGGATTGGTTGAGTCCAGGAGTTTGAGGCTACACTGAGCTATGATCATGGCACTGTACTCCAGCCTGGGTGACAGAGCAAGACCCTGTCTTAGATGAATGAATGAATGAATGAGTGAATTTTGAAAAAACCTGAAACATTTCAAAGTGAAAATATACTCCTAGTATTCATTAAATATAAATAGTGACAGGTGTGATTTCTGTTTTCCCCTTAGTTTTGTAATCACAAAACCCCATTATCTCTTTTATTCCCAAGGAGCATCATCCTCCTCAGAGAAAAAGTTCCCATCCTGTACATCTCTGCCTTTCTCCTCTGAAAAAAACCTTGTTGAGCAGTTCTTAACTTTTACATCAAGGACCCCTTGATGTAGTTCTTGGCACATAATATAAGACGATGTAAATAAAAGAAAAATCTTTTACGCAAAAGCCTACAGCAAAGTTTAAATGTTTGAAGTTCATGAATAGTACTGAAAGGGATAATTGGTTACTTTGTGTTCATTGAGATTTTCCTCATTCTCTCTTCGTTTGAATATTTGAAGTCTGAGTTTTACAGTAATAATTATTTTACAGTATTACCAAAAAAACTCCATTGGCTAATCAAGGCTCGATAGCAAGTTACCATTTAGAGTCATGCAGGTTCTGTCATGATCTCAGTTGTGTATGAGTATTACAGGAATTTTTAGGATGACTATTTAAAAGTTTGTATTTTGGTACTGGAAATGGCCATAGATATGATTCCCAAGATTTATGAAAGTACTTGCTACACTAATCAGTATTGCCCGTCTGTTAGGACTTATTACAATTTATACATTATTGTTAATGCTTGATACTTCTCTATCCTTTATTTAATAATGGTCAATTTTTTAGAAGTCTAAAAAACTTTAATTTTTAATAACAAAATACTAACAAAAATAACATGAAGAAAAAGAAAACTTTATTTTATCGAAATCGGAATGTGGAGACTGTTCAGATATCCTCTTAGTATTTGACCAGTTTTTCCCCCTTCAGCTGGGAGTGGTGGCATATTTTTATGCATCCATTCTATATATTTCTTCATAATACTAGTATCATTTAAACCTGTTAAAGCTATAAACCTAAGTTAAGTCTGACCAAGGAGTTGATGGAAAATCCTTGATAGAAACAAGCAGTTTTTCTTATTTGTACCTCAGTCATTTATGGTCAAGGGATAATTATTATTTTTAACCTTACAGATTATTCAGCTGATTGAAGGCAAAGCCTCTGCTTATGTATTTGCCAGTCCTGGATGTAAGAAGTGGGATACTTGTGCTCCAGAAGTTATTTTACATGCTGTGGGAGGTTAGTCCATTTTATTTCCAAACCTCTCATTTCATAGATAAGAAAGTAGATTTTTAGTAAATTTGTTCTTCTTTAATTGTAGTCTCTTTTTTGAACTTTGATCTGCATACAGTTAATTTAATTGAGCCTTTACTTTTAGCTTTCTTTTTTGTTTTGAGACAGCGTCTCGCTCTGTCACCCAGGCTGGAGTGCAGTGGTGCTATCTTAGCTCATTGCAACCTCGAACTGCTGGGCTCGAGCCATCCTCCTGCCTCAGCCTCAGTTAGCATGCCACCACACCCGGCTAATTTTTTAAAAAAATTTTTTGTAGAGACAAGGTCTCACTGTTGCCAAGGCTGGTCTCAAACTCTTGGCCTCAAGTGATACTCCCACCTCGGACTCCCAAAGTGCTGGGATTATAGTCATGAGCCCCCATGCCCGGCCTATGGCTTTAATGTTTTTAGGGGCTTTTTGCTTGAAAAGCAAAATGTTCATCATCATTGGCATCACCTCATTTAGTCTCTTTTAAGCCAATATTGGTGAATATCTCAGTACTAGCGCTAAAGATCATAGAGTCAGAATTTTTTAAAAATCTGACTGAAAATATATTACACATATATACATAAGATGATTTTTCAATTTCAAATAGACATCAGTTCACATCTACTCTTAGTAAGCAGTGCCTTTTAAAATACCTGTGATTTAACAAAGGCAATAAACAAAACACTTAATTTTTATTCTTTCATTTCTCCTAATATTTTACCAATATCTTATTAGCATATTATCTGATAAGGAGGTTAAATTGTACTTTATCATGTTCCATTTCTATTAAGATGCGAAATGAAACTATAATATAAAACAATTATATTTTATGAATATCCTTCACTGAAACTCATACCAAATAAAGTACTAATATTAAACAATAGAGTGGGCCAGGCGCGGTGGCTCACGCCTGTAATCCTAGCACTCTGGGAGGCTGAAGTGGGAGGGTTGCTTGAGCGCAGGAGCTTGAGACCAGCCTGAGCAAGAGTGAGACCCCATCTCTACTAAAAATAGAAAAATTAGCCATTAGCTACCTGGGAGACTGAGGCAAGAGGATCACTTGAGCCCAGGGGTTTGAGGTTCAGTGAGCTGTGATGATGCCACTGCACTCTATCCAGGGCGACAGAGTGAGACCCTGTCTCTAAATAAATAAATAAATAAATAGTAGACTGAAGAAAACATTTTTGAAAATGTGAATAGTGGTGATGTAGTATGAGCAATAGGAAAAGTGATCACCTCAGGAGAAATTAATAGATACCAAGAAATAAAAAATTGAAAATGCTAAATAAAATTCATTTTAATCAGACAGACAAAATTTATCCTTCAGTTAAAATTGTTTTATGGTCTTAAATTTCAAGTGAATTAAAATTTTAACCTTTATGGTCACTCCTTATTTTATCCAGAATTTATTGGCTACTCTTGGATAGGGAACCAAAAGACACTTAAAAAAATAACTGGAAACATCATGCTCCAATTAGCCATTAACATTGTACTGGTGTTTTTTTGATAGGCAAGTTAACGGATATCCATGGGAATGCCCTTCAGTACAACAAGGAGGTGAAGCATATGAACTCGGCAGGGGTCCTTGCCACACTGAGGAATTACGACTACTATGCAAGCCGAGTTCCAGAATCTGTTAAAAAGGCACTTGTTCCTTAAAGGAAAGTTTCATTTACTTAACTAGAAGGACTTGTTCTTAAAATAATATATATTAAAACTCATTGGATGGAATTAGAACTCCACCTTCATTCATTGTTGATCAGTGACTTATATTTAATTACTGTACTTAGGACTAGAAAACAGAATTAAAGAATTTAAGTTGATGAATGAATCAACCAGACCAATTTTGACATCTGGAGAATTTATAAGTTCAATATATTTCTTTTCCTCCTTTTATGCGGAGTAATGAAAAAAGATTTAGCTCCAAGTGATCAAGTCAACTGTTTACTCAACATTCCTATCTTGTAAACCAGATTTCTTTAGGGCATGGTTGTTCCTATATCTCACTCTTGTTTTTCATGGTAATTTTTGAAGTGTTTCTACTCCAGTTATGAATATATATAATGTTATGTGTGTTGATGAAAGAGATTTATGGGGAAAGTTTCTTTAAAATAAATTATTAAATCCTAGCTCTTTATGTTATTCACTAGCTTTTTTTTTTTTAAGTATTTGAAAATTATAAATTCTCTACTATGGGGATTCGTTTATTATGGCATCCTTATAAGGCTTACCTGTGGAAAGTTGGGTAATTGCCTTTATTTTTCCCAATGGGCAATTATAACATATACTCAATTCTGACATTATGCCTAGATTTTTATTTTTTGAGTCTGTGTCCGTTGCTTTTAATTAAATATCTCTGATTTTTGGATTAAGGAAGTGACTTAAATTAATAGTTCCCAAACCCAACTGTATTTCAGAATCATCTAGATTGTTTAAAAAATGCAGATTCACAGGGTCTGTCCCAGCAATTTTAATTCTATGTATTTTAAGAAGGCTACTCTGGGGACTTTGATAATCATCTAACTGTAGGACTCACTAGATAAGGTAATATAGTGGTATTCTGCAGGGGCATCACAATCTAGCAGGAAGAGGTCTCTGTGGCTTCGACGCCTTTGACCACTCCCTCTTGTAACTCTCTTGTCCTTACTTTCTTCTTCCCCCTTTTAACCACTCCTACTCAGTCTCCTTTTTTGCTTTCTCTTTGTCTTCCTTCCCTTAAAAGCCACTATTCACTAAGATTCTGTTCTAGGCTCTCTCTACTTTCTCACCAGATGATCTAATTCATACATATGGCTTCATGTGGGGACTTTTGCCCTGAAATCTGAATCTTTATCTAGCTTAGAACTCTCAAACTCTAGATCTATATTCCCAAAGATCTACTTAGATGCCTTACAGAGATCTCTGAATTACTGTGTTTAAACAGCTCCTCATTCTTGCCTACCCCTCCTGAAATTATTTTACAAACCCACAGTGTGATCCTGATAATTGGCCAAGTTTGAAAATCACTGCCTTAATCCATTTAATTCCTTCTAATAATAGAGTTCTCTATCTGTGAACAGTGGACTAAACCTAATTTTAAAAAAATCTAAGTGTAACATGAGAATAACTTTAAAGGTATTCTCCACAGTTTCCTATGTGAAAACACAAGTTCTCCAGGTGAGATATTTGAGAGTCTATGTTCTCTCTCTATTCCCATTGCCTCTACCTTAATTTATACCCTTATAACTCATTATTTCTTTCTTGGATCACTGCAGTGCCTTCGTGACTAATCTCTTTGCCTGCACTGTAACCCATCTCTCTCTCTCTAATTCATTTGTCATATCATCTCCAGATGGATTTTTTAAAAAATCAAATCTAGTAACACTACTCCCTTACTCAAAACTTTTTATGACTTCCTTTTACCTTCAGGATAAAAAGCAAGTTCTTTATGATGGTATACGAAGCTCTGAATGTTAAAACTTACTCCTTCTCCAGCATCAGCTCTGCTCTCTAACCCATACTGAAGCCATGCTCAACCATTTAAAGTACCCCCTAAATACCATCTTTTTGCTCACCTTGAACTCCATTCACTCATGCAACAAATATTTATTGAGCACCTACTATATGTTACGCACTGAACAGAGGTATTGAATATTCAACAGTGGGCATAACACGATAAATCTGTGCCTTTGTTGAGCTCACATTCTTGTGAAGGAAAACAGATAATAAATAAGTAAATGAAATTATTTCAGATTGTGGTAAATGTTATAAATGTACTAGGAAGATGAGCTAAAAAGCAACATGGGTGGGTTGGAGTGGAAGGGCCAGAAGATCTTCTTTAGATAAAATAGAAATGTTTTCTCTGTGGAGGTGATATCTGAGCTGAAAACAGGATGAAAAGAGGTCAGCTATGCTGAGAGCTAAGACTTCTAGTGGGAATAGTAAGCACAACACTTCTGAGAAGAGAAGATAAAGAACAGAAAGGAAGCCCACAGTGGCTGAAGTAAAATGAACAAGGGGAAGAGTGTAATAAAATTGAGTTGGGGATGCAGGTAGGGACCAAGTCACCTATAAACTTACAAGTTTTTTAAAAAATATTTTAAAGTTGAAGGGAATGAGGAGTGACTGCTAAAGGGTACAAAGTTTCTTTTGGGGCTGATAAAATGTTCTAAAATTGATTGTGGTGATCCTCTGAATTGCACACTTCAAATCGGCGAATTGCATGGTATGTGAATTATATCTCAGTGAAGCTGTTGTTAGAAAAAATTAAATGGGCCCATGTGGCTAGTGCCTGCCACACTGTGCAGCAGTCCCCAACCTTTTTGGCACCAGGCAATAATGAGCTGGTCAGAGTTTCTCAAATACACACAGCTTCATGACTCCAGGCTTCAGCTCATGTTCTTCATTTGACCCCTTCTTTCCATCCCTTAAATGTGCCATCTCTCATTGGAATCTTTCCTTTACCGGTCTCTCCTAATCACTTTCTACCTTCTGAGTTAACTTTGTACTTTCTGCAAACTTTGTATTTTTATTTTCATTTCCAAAATGTTTTTAAGACAAACATATTTCTCTTGCTGCATATATCCCACTGTATAGCAATTTTTATTTGCATGTCTCTTCTACCTATAAGACTGTAGGCTCCTTGAGGGCAGGGGCTTTGCCTTCTGCTTCTGTATCTTCTGTTTATGTGCATAATAATAAGAGCTTAAAATGTTGCCTAAATATCTGTAGAAATATCAGCTGAAAATTCAATACCCATTCTTGATTTTTTAAAAAATATAATGTTAAGCTAAGAATAGAAATAATTTTCCTTAACTGGATAATGAGTATAAGAAACCAGCAGCAAACACTATTCTTAATAATGGAACAGTAGTGGCATTCCCACTAAAGTTAGGAACAAGACAAATATATTCTTATTCAACATTATCATTGCTATTTAACATTATTCTGGAAGTCCTAGCCAATGAAAGAGATAAGATATAGAACATATAACCTCTAGATAGAAAAAAAAGATATTATCTACCTAGAAAATCCAACATAATCAACCAAAAAATGATTGGAACCAATAAAAGCATCCAACAAGATGATGACTCTAAGACCTAAGACTGCTATATGTCCTGCTTCCCTGAGAGTAGATTTCTATTTGTGGGCTACAGTACATCCTTTTTTGGCATTTTTATTGATGAAACTCATATCCTCAATGATTCCATGCTTCTCAAAATCATCATGATATGTATCTGGGACTATGATGAGTAATAAAATTGCAAAACTTTAAACAAATGGAAGGATTATCATTACTTTCTAGCACTAATCTCTAACTTCCCCACTAAACAATCTCCCTATCTTCTGAACCCCTAAAGCATTATGGACTCAACCAGTTATTGGGCACTTGGAATGCTCTGCTTTGTACTACAGTCTTTTCAGAGCCTTCTGTATTGTTTTGACAATAGGAGGTGTACTGAATGACAAGAGATAGAACTAAAAAGATCTCAAAAATTAAAATCTAGTAAGGACATTTAAGATGAAAAAGTTAGCTCTATCAAATCCTCCATGAATCAAGCCAAGGGTAAATTAACACATGCAATGTCTTACATGAGATCACTATAGAATGGGGATTTTAGCTTATAATTTTAATACGAGGCTGGGTGTGGTGGCTCATGCCTGGAATCCCAGCACTTTGGGAAGCCAAGTCGGGAGGATCACTTGAGCCCAGGAGTTGGAGACCAGCTTGGACAACATAGCAAGACATTGTTTCTACAAAAAAAAAAATAATAAAAAATTTAGCTGGGTGTACTGGCATGTGCCTGTAGTCTCAGATACCTGGGAGGCTAAGGCAGGAGGATCCCTTGAGCCCAGGAGTTTGAGGTTTCAGTGAGCTATGATCGTGCCCACTGCACTCTAGCCTGGGTGACAGCATGAGACCCTGTTTCAAAAAAAAAAAAAAAATTTAATATGAGTCAAAGTTTAATGTGATTGTAAAAAGCTAATGTGGTATGTATTGATAGCTTTATAATGGGCAGTATGAAACTGACAATACTTCCACCTCCACTCTGCCCTGATCACACCACACCCAGAACATGTTGTTCTGTTCTGAGTATTACATTTTAAAACGCACATTGAGAAGTGGAGTATGTTTGGGACAGGGCAGCTGGAATAGATTAAAACTATCGTTTGAAGGACTGTTGAAAGGGCTGGAGACATTTGGCCTAGATAGCAAAGACATGGCAGACATCATGATGGCCTGAAATACAGGAAAGATTGGCATGTGGAGGATCCTCAGCGTGTTCTGTATAGCCTCAGAGGGTAGTGGATCAAAAGAACTGCAGATTTAGGTGCATCTAATAATAGGTGTTTAGAAACAGGGGCTGTCTTGGGCAATTTAGTTTTCTATCACTGAAGGTGTTCAAAAATAGATTAGTTGGTTATTCATGTGTTAAATAAATGATTCCAGGATTCTTTGTATCTCTAGTGCATTATATGGCAGAAGACACTCAGTATTTATGAAAAGAATTTTTTTTAAATCCAAAGGTTTCTTAGCAAATAAACATCACTTTTCCCTGTATATATTATATAAAACTCAATTACTCAACAATATTTAGTTAGTACACATGTGTGATGTGCAGGAAAGTGCTGGAAACTTTATGAAACCTCATAATATCAAAGAAATTTTAAACGGCACATTGAATATGTTTGGAAGAGGGCAACTTCAAAATATCAAAGAACTCTATCACCATGTTAACACTTTGTGAACATACTGCTTACTACGTGACGTGGAAGGAAGCTGTGACCAGATCTGGAATAACTACCCCAACTGAGTTACATGAAGTATATAGGTGATGAAGTGGAAGTATCCATAACCATGGAAGAATGTGACTTTCACCTTGGAGTTCTTAATAGTCATAAAAGAAATGGTGAGCATGATAATACAATCTCCCTCATTTTAATTAACAGCATCATATAGCACTTTACAATTTCCTTTTTTCCTCCAAGCATTACCTCATTTAACTTTTTAAAAGTGTTTTCGACACTTTTAGAGAAAGACAGGCATTATCCTTCAGCCAGTTATGATACTTTGGCCAGCTAAAATAAGAGATTCTTTCATTGTTTTATGTTTGAATAAAATTATAAATATATAATCATAAATGAAGCAGATATGCTATAAAAAAGGCCAAAACAGCTCTAGAAACTGCA